GATGTTCCTTCAAAAGCTGGATTGAATGTTAGATCAGAATTATTAAAGTTCCATGATAGCTATTATTCTGCTAATTTGATGAAATTAGTTGTTTTAGGGAGAGGTAAATTTACTATAGCAAGATGTAATACCGTATTTCGCTCATTAGTGTTATTTAAAATCATGCAACTTAAAGATAACGTGCATGACTTCAAAATGACGCCCACACGAGTCACGAATGTTAGGACAACTGTAATGAGCCATTCACGTAGATGTTCTCTTATATCGGACGATCAGCCTTTATCTCAAATAACGCACATGAGCGCACTCAAAATAACGCACACAACGCGTTATTATGAGAAATACGGCAGACGCTTTAAGCAACGTTGTATTAATGTGTTTTTATGGTGTAGAACCCTTGGATAAATTGAATCAGTGGGTTGTAGAAAAATTCTCAAAAGTTAAAAATAAGGCGATTCCTATACCAGTTCCTAAAGAACATTATCCTATTACTGAGAAAGAATTAGGGGTAAATTGATTTATTATTATAGTATTTTGGCAGAGTGCATTTTGAAATAGTGTTGGCCTATGACTTGTTATGATGAATATAGGTTATCATTCTTATGACCTGTTATGGTTTATAAAATTTACTATTACATTATGACAACTTTTGTCATATAAATTTGGATGTGACATAAAATGGCTAACACTGCTTTGGAGTGCTTGACCATCTGTTATGCTGCAAATATATTTATGGTTGCTATCTATTTGTGATAAGAATTTCCATCTATATATTTAATATAAAAGCTGTTAGCACTAACTTAAACCATTTGTGAAATAGAGTCAAATTTCAATGAAACCTGTTAAAGACAATCATTATTTAGAACTAACTTTTCCATTTCCTGACCAAGAACCTCTTTATAATTCACAAGTACGTTTTTATATTTTAAATGTTTTAGATTTTTTTCAAAATAATATATTTAATTTTTACTTTGTAGCCTGGAAGATATCTTGGTCACTTGATTGGACATGAAGGTGTCGGGTCAATATTATCATTGTTAAAAAAGATGGGTATGTAAATATCAAAAGGGTTTTCCAGTTTCTATATTAATTTTTATATTAAAAACTCAGGGTGGGCAAATAAGTTGAGTGCTTATAGCAGTCATGAGTATGTTGGATTTGAGGTATTTAAAATATCGATTGAACTTACCGAAGAAGGGCTAGGTAAATTATGTCTAGATACTTTTGTTATGTAACTTAGTATGATTTTACTCATACATGACTTGTTTATTATAGCTCATTATGAGGAAACTGTGGAAATTTGTTTTCAGTATATCGAAATGTTAAAGCAAACCGGCGTGCAAGAGCAAATTTTCTGCGAGGCAAGGAAACAATTAGATATCTCTTCGCTTTAAAATCTTAAATCCTCATATAAATATGCCTTAAACAAAATAATCTAGGTTCAATCAATTGCATCGATAGACTTTAGATTTCAAGAAAAATATTCACCATCCTACTATACGTCAAAACTTGCCGTACAAATGCAACGTCCATATCCACGTGAACTTATTTTAAGTGGTTCTCATTTGATTCGTGAATATAATCCAGAACTCATCCTTGAAGAATTAAATTGTTTATGCTGGGATAAATGTATTATTACTTTATCTAGTAAACTGTTAAAAGGACTTGATAAAAAGGAAAAATGGTTTGGCACCGAATATAGGCTGGAAAAGATTAGTGAAAAACTTTTAAAGGTACTCATTACTGCATTCAAATATATAAAAATATATAAATATTTGGTATAAATATTGGTTGTTATGTTGGAATTCTTATGATAAATTTCTGGGAAATTTTTGTAGGCAATTCAGAATCCAAAACTTCATCCGGATCTTAAGATCCATCCGCCGAATATTTTTATTCCTTCAAATTTTGAAGTCGACAAACTTATAGATGTAGTAATGTCTATTTATGTGATATGATTTATCGACATATTATCGTGCGGCATTATATTTGTAATTAATTTGAATCTCAATTTGTTTATTAGCCGCGTACATATCCCGTTCTTATAAAAAATACAACATCGAGTCGTCTTTGGTACAAAAAGGATGATACATTTTGGATACCTAGAATTGTGGCACATTTCATAATAAGAACGTAATTAAATTACCATTTTCTTAAAATATAATACATTTTTACATTTATCATACGTAACTAATATTCAATACATTGTAAAACAGTCCAATAGCACATTCTACACCTCTGAATTCTGTAAAAACTCGATTATACATTGGCCTTGTAACTGACGCATTTACAGAATATGCATATGATGCCGAGATAGCAGGTCTTGTTTATTATCTCTACAATCATGATGAAGGAATAATTGTGACAATTCAAGGTTACAACGATAAATCGCCTTTACTTCTCCGTAATATTGTTGAAAAAATGAAATCATTCCAAATTGATCCAAATCGATTTCAAAAAATAAAAGAAGAATTAAAAAGATCATATGACAATCGTTCATTGGATTCTCCCAGTTATCAAGCCATGTATTACAGAAGTTATGCAACCACTCAAAAATCATGGACACACAAAGAAAAGAGTAAATTATTAGATAAAATCCAATATGAGGATGTACAGCAATTTTATCCATCTTTATTTGATCAAGTACTGTTTGAAGGGTTTGTTCAGGGAAATATGAGCCGAGAAGATGCGTTAGATATGATTAAAATCTTAGAGGATACATTGAAACCATCCGAGGAAATCTTAAAATCACAATTAACTGGAAATAGAAGTGTGTGTATACCTGATGGAAAAAAATTCTTTTATACGATGGAAGTTTCAGATGAAAAAGAAATTAACAGCGCTATAGAATATTACATACAAGTTGGTGATGTAATGGACAAAGAATTGCGAGCTAAGTTAGCATTAGTAGGACAAATTTCTGAAGAACTTTCTTTTGATCAACTAAGAACTAAGGAACAATTAGGTTTGTAATTAGCTTTATAAAATTATTTATTAGAAATCCAGTTGGAAATAACATGTAATATTGCAATGTCGTTAGGATATTGTGTTTGGAGTACAGTAGAGGAAGGAACAGGTTCAATGGCACTCAGAATTGTTATTCAAAGTGAAAAAGATCCTATTTATTTGGAAAATAGGATCGAAGAATTTTTAATTAAATTACAGGTGTGTCTTTCATGTTGTATATAATTAACTTTTAGTACTAATAACATTGTTTTAAATTTTTTTGGGAGTCAGACAATAATTGAAGATATGCCAGAAGAAGAATATAAAAAAGAAATAGCTTCATTGATTAGTAAGAAGTTAGAAAAACCTAAAAATTTAAGTGAAGAAAGTTATAAACATTGGTGCCATATTTACTCTGGCTATTATGAATTTGATAAAGGTAAACTAACAAAATAATGTACCGTATTTTTGCGTAATAACGTGCAGGGGTGTAATTTCGAATTTTGGCCTAAATTAAACTTAATTCGGGCAAAAATTCGAAATAACGCTCATGAGCGTTATTACGGTATATTTTTTAAATTCACACATTTTCATATTAATCAATATTTTGAATATTTTAACAACTAAATTAATAGTTGGGACTGATGTATCGAACATACGTGAAATCGCAAAAACCGACCTTCTAGAATTCTATAAAACCTATATTCATCCCCGTTCACCTGTACAGAAAAAACTTTCAATTCATTTGAAATCCAAAAATCTTGCATTATTAAAACGGTTTGATTCAATTGATATTAAAAAGTTGCATGCGCTTATAACTTCTCAAGGATTCGCAAGTATTACAGAAGATGAATTAAAGGGCGCTATTGATATTCTGAAAGTTCAAAGTGCTGGGAAAGATGCTCTGAAAATTGAAATGGAGATTAAAAATTTATTTTTGAAAAAAGTTAGAGAGATGAATAGCGACCAAGAAGTAAGTAAAGAAGTAGAGACAACGTTGGATAAATTATGTGAAGATTTCATGAATTTAATTTCTGAAGATGGAAAGGCAGAAACGAAAAATAAGGATGAAAAGAAGGATGAATATGAGTTATCATCTGGTAACGAGATGATTGATGATCTATTTTTATTCAAAAGTAGAATGAAATTAAGTCCTGATGCTATGCCTGTTTTACCATGGAGTAGTTATTATGAGAAATAATCTTTAAATTACTACTCTTATTTATTTGATTCTTACATTTTCATAATAAAGATATCGCATATATACACTCAGACCTCGTTATAGTCACACTCGATATAATCATAACTTTGTTATAGTCACATTATTTTCTAGTTTTAGCTATATAAAACTTGACCTTTATACAACTTTTTTGTAATCACCAAATTTTTGTTTCCCAACCTGGTGATTATATCAAGGTCTGACTGACAATATATTGACGTTTTTGGTTGCAGAAAATTATACGCCATTTACATTAGTGTCA